TGTGGTACGTGTGCCTGCACACAACAGAAACTGCTGTGCAGACGGGCTGGGAATACAGTCCAGTGGTGGGTAGCTCTTTGTCCGGCCTGCAGTAAAACAAACGCTTACACAGGCTTCCCCACTAAAGAAACTGATTTAGTAAAATGAATGTCTTTCTGTCTTTACGCAGGTGTTATCTTCAGCAGCCTGATGCTCATCCGGAGTCTCAGGCTTCCCTGCAGAATCCCTGAGCCCTCTGAGGGTCTACCTACAGAATCAGGTCTATCCCTTGCTTTACTTTTTTTTTGGTTGTTGTTGTTTTTTTTCGAGACAGGGTTTCTCTGTAGCGTTGGAGCCTGTCCTGGAACTCCCTTTGTAGACCAGGCTGGCCTCAAACTCACAGAGATCCACCTGCCTCTGCCTCCCGAGTGCTGGGATTAAAGGCTTGCGCCACTACCACCCGGCTCTTGCTTTACTTTCTTACCCTACTGTTCGTGGCTCACTAGTTACTATATAATTCCACCATTTTTTTTTCCCTGTCTACCCCTTTAGAATGTAAGTTCCAGAAAGCCATGGATATTTTTTTTCGCACTTCTTTTAAAATTCTGGCGCAGCCTCAATCCTAGCAAAGATAAGTTTAGTATCAATAGGTTAATTGTGTTTAATGCCTATACAAAGTACACAAGGAACTGTTTTCAAAATTCCCCCAATAGAATTTGATGCTATCAAGTCGTACTCACTAATGCCACTCCCAAATGTTCACCAGTTTAACTAACCAGTACAAGGAAACCCTGGTCCAGGTAACTAATAGGTAAGTGGAAATTACTTTGTTCTAAAACCTCTCTTAACCTCCCGTGCTTCTTAGGCTTGGTTGTACATTGATCATTACCTGGGGATGCTTTGTAAACATGTGGAAGGTTTGATGTCAGCCCTGCCTTGAGAGAGTACAGTTATGTCCTTTCCACAATCTTATCAACTCTTAGTGATTATGACTGGAACGTAGGAATTCACTAGGAACTATATATAGGTGGTATTCCTATTAACATCTCCAGGCTTGTATTTTTTTCATCCACAAAATCAAAGGTTTTATGTTGCAATCCCTACTTCCTTGCGACTGAAGGCCACCTGAAGATATACAATCTCACGGACCAACAGCTCCTGGAATTTTGGTCTTTCTGTCAGGAGGCAGTTATTGTTGAACTAGCTGGACCACACCCTATCAGCCACTCTAATGAATTCCCCTTTGATATATCAGTTCTGTTCCTCTAGAGAACCTTAATACAGAGCACCAACTCTCTCTCTCTCCTCTCTCTCTCTCTCTCTCTCTCTCTCTCTCTCTCTCTCTCTNCTTTGAGGCAGGGTTTTGCTGTAGTTTTAGAGCCTGTCCTGGAACTAGCTTTTGTAGACCAGGTTGGCCTCGAACTCACAGACATCCGCCTGCCTCTGCCTCCCAAGTGCTGGGATTTTTTTTTTTTTTGATTTTTGAGACAGGGTTTCTCTGTAGCTTTTGGTTCCTGTCCTGGAACTAGCTCTTGTAGACCAGGCTGGCCTCGAACTCACAGAGATCTGCCTGCCTTGGCCTCCCAAGTGCTGGGATTAAAGGCCTGTGCCACCTCTGCAAGGCAAGCACCAACTCTTTCTTCACAGTGAGGTGAAGGTGTCTGTGTGCATGTATGAGCTTGACAATGCTCCAAAGTAAGAGACGGATATCCGTTTTGATTGTAGAGACATCGCCATAGTAAATCAGAAATCTGTGGCCTTGATATATAGCCCAGGTCTGCTTCCAAAGTGCTGGAGATTGCAGGCCTTTGCCAGCAAACCAACTAGTAAATGGGAATTCTAAATAGTCATAAGACCCACATGTGTCTGGAGTGAGCATAGGGAATCTGATACTTTCTGTAAGGCTTGTTAAATAAAGGCTCTGGGACCGGCCGGGCTGAGTTTGTACATTAGTTTATGTATTTGTTCATACTTTCTTTCAAATTTACATAGGACATAGGAAACAAGTAGATGGCGCAACTCTTTGCTGCATCCAGATTAAGCCCCCGAGTTTCGTAAGACTGACCCTGTGGAGCTGTGTGTGTGCGTGTGTGCGTGCGTGCGTGCGTGCGTGCGTGTGTGTGTGTGTGTGTGTGTGTGTGTGTGTGTGTGTGTGTGGTGTGGCGCACGCCTTTAAATCCCAGCACTTGGGAGGCAGAGACAGGCGGAGCTCTGTGAATTCAAGGCCAATCTAGTCTACAGGGAGAGTTCAAGGACAGTCAGGGCTGTCCACACACAAAAATCCTTTCTCAAAAAACCAAAACCAGCCAAACAAACAACAACAAAGGCTGACCCCATGAAAGGTTCCTCCCCCATCCCCGCGGTTTTTCTCCTTGGGAGCATTTTCAATGAAAATCAAGATATATACCTCAACCAATAAACATGTTATCTCCAGTTAGTTCTGTTGAACGTAGTGATTTTGCTTTTTTATAAATAGTAAGTCTAGGAAGCTACTGAGAGGTTCCCTATACTGGAAACAAGGTTTTTGGAACCGAGAAGCCAAAGTCGCCCATCCCATCACTGAATGACAATATAAATGATTGGGTTAATCCACTTAAGGCTGTGTTTCTTTCCAAGAGAAACTGAAACTGTGTCACTGCCACACCACCCCTGATCAAGCACTGGGGATTACTCTGAGTTACAAAGCCTTCCAAAAAGTCAATTAACGCCAGGCGGTGGTGGCGCACGCCTTTAATCCCAGCCCTCGGGAGGCAGAGACAGGTGGATCTCTGTGAGTTCGAGGCCAGCCTGGTCTACAAGAGCTAGTTCCAGGACAGGCTCCAAAGCCACAGAGAAACCCTGTCTCGAAAAACCAATAAATAAATAAATAAATAAATAAATAAATAAGTCAATTATCCATTTAGATAAAGAAATACACATTTTAGAGTTTCATTTTATAAGAGAATTTTTATAATCGTAAGGTTTTAAATCCCAGCTCTTTAATTGGGGTGCATGATATATAGATCATTGGACGACTGAATACAAAGCGCTTTAAGTGTCCAGTTCCAGATGCAGATGTTTAATGTATGTTACATTACTTCCGCTAATGCCTAGGCAGTGAGGACAGCAAAGCATGTTTAAACATTGATTTTTATGCGTCCCGGTGTTTTGAAAGCATGCATGTCCTCTCTGCCTTTTACTTTCCCGTCAATCATTCTCTTTGGGGACTGACTTAGGAGCAGCCGAAACCCACTGCCCTCCACTGAACTGTGTCTTCCTTGCTGCAGTTTCTCAGTGCCGCCTTTGGGTTAGAGAGAAAGCGGCTGCCATGTTGGGGTGGGGGACTCCGCGCTGGGGGAGGAAGTGAGAGAGAATCAGCTGAGTGTGTCCCAGGAGG